TTGCGCCTCTGCTGGTGAAAAAACTTTCGGCAAACGCCTCCATTGTTAAGTTGGCTTCCGGCTCTGGCAACGGTATGATCTCGAAAGACACAGTCACACCCGCATCGGTCAGATGTTTGCATATGGAGTGTAACTTCACCATCCCTGGAACAAAAAGGGCAATATTTAGTATGAGGCATTGGTATCGAACTGGGTGTCCTAGAGTGACCCGCGACTGAAGCTGAATGAACATGAATTGAGGATCATTTATTCGTTTTCCTTGCCATTGTGGTCGAAGAGGCTGCTGTGTGAGGAGATCTTTCCACTGCTTCTAGTTCGCAGTCAAATGGACAACCTCTGCGGTCTGGATGCCATAATCAAACCATCTCGTCCGTGCTTGGCGATTATGAGTCATTCCATTGATTTCGTGAACGGAGAACTCCCGGAGAGTTTCACCTGTGGCATCCTCATCATATGAATGAATTTCGGCTCTTGGGTATATTAAAAGTTTCCGTATTATTCATCACAAGTGATCAACATATAGTATATTCAAGCAATAATTATATTATTGATTTATTCATTGATGACATTAATAAAACACAACATATATTGGCCGTTGACCGATATGCTGCAGTTCAGCAACAGAAGTTCTACTCGCTGAGCCGAAATACTGAACACTGAAGATTTTATGGTGCATTGCGAGAAAAAAGCTGCTGCCACGAAAATGCATCGGGCTTACCCAAAATTTCTACGACGCATTGACAACGAGAGATTAGAAATGCATGCAGCCAAACAGGAAAATTTGTCCCCTAATAGAGATTCGTCAAGGATCAGCACTGAGGTAATTTCCGTCCTCGATATTGACAAACGCGCTAAGGAAAATCTTACAGGCAGCAGCCATATGCCGCCTGATCCTCAGAGGTAATATAGGCGAAATCAGAAATGGCGTAGGTGCGAAAACGGAAGTATGCAAGGCAGTTTCTGAGAAAAACAAACAGTCGGAATACCTACATATTATTCAGCAGAAAAAATAAATGATCCCATGAAACAAACCTCAGCATTTAAGAATGTTGGTTCCACAGAAAGAGGAAGCATAATGATCGACAGTCAGAAGAGTGATCAGAACGAAGAACAGGAGCGACTGTGACGTGGCACGAAGAAGCACATGAACTATGCGACAAAGCCCATGGAATGCTAGTAGAAACTTTACTGCTCTGAAAGGAGCTGAATTTTCCTCCTCTTCAAACGGACATGAGCTGAAGCTGAATTCGGTTGAACTGTATATTCTCAGAGGGATCAATACATAAACGCTCATTGCACGTGCATAAAAAATAGATAGTTGAATGTAAATAAGAATGTGTGTTCTGTCACCTGTTAACAGGAAAGACAGCATTCGGGATGCTTTCATTAGATGTAGCCCAGATTAAGAATAAGCATATGAAAGGGAAGCTCGGTTCATTCAGCTGATCCAAGTATTGACACTGTCGGGAAGGTGAAGAAAGGAAAGACGGAAGAAATGAGCGCGAAGAAGATATTGTAAAGAATGACATAAGGATTCGATTCGACCACCGATTGTGTCTCGGATGTTGGATCGCAGCCAAGCAGAATACACTTTGACGAAGAAAAGAGAGAAAGCAAAGCAGATTACCGTTTGACGAATAAACACCATAAAACCAAGTATAATTCCATTCAAATCACATGAAAGTTTTGATTTTTGGCCCCTTGTTAAAATCGCAGATTGATCTCTAAGTTATGGTCAAAGAATCAAACAACTCAGATATTGGCAGCTTATTGCTGAACGAGTTTGCTACAAAATAAGTGGCGTCACCGGGACACAATTCTCATATTACTACAGTAATTCCAGTAATTCACAGTTTCGGCTTGAACTATGGCCAAACATTCAGCTAACATACGACGGGGCCGTTGCCCGTTGAAATCTTTGCCTGCATTTCAGACTAGCGAAGCATCAGAACGCCATCTTTTGGAGAGCCTGCCACACCCCCCCCCAGTTAAACACATATGTATCAAAAGTGTCTTCTGTGCCCTCCTCGACATAATTGAAGTTTGTAAGCTTTGAATACGCGACATCTCGCCAATATCGTAATCCACAGCATGCAAGCGTTTCGCTGGTCCGTTGGCATTCTTGAAAGTAAATCCTAATGTCACTAGTGTGTTACCTAGTCCACGTTTATTCCTGTGGTAATTTGCCCCTACTCTATCTTTGTTCATTATATTGCTACTGTACTTCTATCACCTTATTTTACTGATAGTATTACAGTACTTGCTACTGTTACATTACTCTGATTTACGTTACTGATGCCTGATTTATGCTGAACTTTAAACTCAGTTGTGTGACTTTAGTTGACAATAAACAAGTCACTAAATGCCACTTTTCAAATGACATATTTCGCTCTCGAATTTTATTCATATGAAGCATACCGTAATCTGAGTCGTATAGAAATGCTATTTTTCTCCATTGTTTGTTAATAATGATATTGGCGACGATCTCGTCCACCGGCGGCATTATGAAGACCTCGAATTCATTGCAGGTCGCCTGCGGAATCACGCACCAGCTCACAAACGGAACGTGCATTTCCTTGGCCACTGCCGCGTACGCCGGACGGGATTTCAGGTCTCCAGAAGCGGCAATTGCGAAGACTCCTTTCTTCAGAAGATCACATGCTGAAACAAATGATACATGATCCGACTGCGTAGTGATCGCTCACCGATGGTTCCTTAAATAATGATTCATAATGATAATGAGAAGAGGTAATGACAGAGGTGTTGAGGCTGCGACATAGCAGAGTTCTACTTGCATATTCAGGTTCTAATTAAGGTTTACCCATGGTTCTTTGTGCATACTGCGATCCTAATTTAGGCGTAGTGTCTTTTTCACAGGATTGTTTTATACGACATAGAAACGTTTTATTGCCTAACAAGTCTGGAACGGTTATGACCTATTAGTATACGTCAACCACGAAGGATAGGTATCATTTCACGAAAGCATATATGCAGTATCGGCTCAAGAAACGTCATTGGATGGTACAGAGCTTTCAGATTTTTCTATTCTGTCATTGCCTTTTGGAAGTCATATCGATCGTGTCAACCAGCTATGAAGCAGCGTATTCGTAAAAACAGAGACATTCATCTAGCAACTGACCAAGAAAACTGAAAGTCAAATCCCTTAGGTACTGTTTGCATATTCCAGCTGTACTGTAGTCCATTTCTCAACCAGAGATACTACATGCAGATCCTTCTTGTTTAATCGATGTGCCTATTTCCGGATAAAGAAGATCAGCATGGATATTGTGATTGTGATGTGTTGAAAACTTTCTTCGAAAAATTATAACTGAGTTTGAGCCACATTTTTTACTGGCTGGTTTCACCCAGCGCAGTCAATGTCTTCTGTATCACGTGCATTGACCAATAAAGCAGCCCTTCAAACCGTATCACATGTTTGCTACCTTCTTACTAGGGCAAGTCGTAAATTTTACGCTGGTAGTAAGGGGATCATCTCTTAGATTGGAAAGTACACTTCAGATAGTGCGATACAGGCCGTACAAACTGCTGAAAAGTTCAGTTATTCTAATTCTGGGTTAACATTGAGATTTATTAATAAGATTCGTTATGCTTGATGATAGAATCTGCTATCCAAAGGCTTTAAGGAGGAACAGGCAGTTCGAAATAAGGAATGAGGTCATTACCTGCACTGAAAACATCTCCTTCATGACCTAGAAAATTGAACGGTTGAAGAGGCTATAAAGGTCAGAGAATGTCGTCAGGAGATGATCAACGAGCACAAGTAGACGGAATTGTCATTCTTTGAACCCAGCTTATGGACCTGCCCAACGACCGGGTCAGAATCATTCTAAAACCTTTTGGACTTGCTCCTCTTTTCCCCACCGAGATCCAAATTAAATAGCTAGATTTGAACATTAATCGATGCAAATGAGTTATTACCTGCCAGGCTTTCAATCAGCAAGAAGCGAAAGGTCGTTCAGAGCAATGACGAATGAATGACCATTATGAATTATGATCATTAAGGATCGAAGGCAAGCTCTTGAGCAGCATAACCCAAATGACTGAAGGATACCTACTCACCTATCTTGTTGTATTTCCACATATTGATCGATCCTTTGTCCTTCAGTTCCACCCTTTTTACGTCCAGTTTAAATAGCTGCTGTGACTGGTCGATGTTCTGCTGTTCAGTAGCGAAAGCAATCGCTCTTCTCAAGTTGTCCAGTTCTGGATAGATAAACCCTAAACAAAACGAGAAAACATCAACATTACAATCAACAATTACACCCAATGTCAACAACATGTCCCCATTAGGAGTTATTGTTGCTGCTAGTGAGTTCCTGGCAGTGGTTCGGACGACGCTACGGTAAGTTGAGACGATGGGGTTGCTAACCACTCGCCATTCACTTCTGTCCGTGACTGAAGCCTCACACAGTGCCCTGCCTCTCTGAATAGAGGTTAGAGAGGTATCGGCAATGCTTTACGAGGATTTGCC